TATTTTCCACTGGTTTTATATAATATTTATTTATATCTTATAATATATTGTTTTTAATTTTTACTTAATATATATTTAACTGGTTATAATTCATATTTATGATATTACATAAAATATAGTTAATTTTTGTGATAAACTGATAAAATACATTTTTTTACGTGAAAAAGAATATTTTAATTATAAAAAAATAAATACTAAAAACAGTTATTTTATAAAATAATGTCTTAATTTTGTATAATGCTTTTTTAAAATATTAATCAGTTATAAAATTTTTTATCAATCGTTTTTTATTAATTTTTTCAATAAATAACTATTTTCATTTATTTCAATAAAAAATATAAATTACTATAAATGCTTATAATTTTCTATTTTTCAAAACATAACTTTAATCATTAATTTCATAAATATTAATAATACTCAATTTTTCATTTATCATTTTGATTAATCGAAAATATACTCTTAGATCTTTTTTATTATAAGAATTTTATCATTTCTTTATTTAATAAGAGTTGTTTTATCTTAAAGAATATTAAATACTTTTAAGTCTTGATAAAATATTATTTATTTAACCACATTTTCTAATTCTTTTAAGTTTAATAAAAACATTTAGTTTTTATTTTTAAATATAAATGTTTAGTTTTAAAGGTATTCCTTCGATTTGGGCCCCAATCGAAGAAGTAATTTTTTTATATTTGATATAATACAAATTGCGTATGTTGTATATAGACTGTATTTGCATCACATTATCAGTGTTTTATAGATCATATAATTCTTTGTATAAATTTGCCATAATTTATTTAAAAAGCTTTACGCATGGGTTATTTACTATTTTCATTTTAAAGTTTGATATAATCAAAAAATTATTTATCTTAAAATTATACAAAGAAATCAGTAGTTTTTTTGTTTGTTAAAAGAAACAAATTTTTATGAAAAATAAATTTAATAAAAAATCAAGAAATTTATAACATCAAAATTACGTATGTAAATAAACAGCCACACTTAGACAATATTATATTATAGTTATTAAAGGTAGATTTATATGCAAAATACTGTAGAAATAG